CTATGTCAAACAAGTATTTAAAATACCAAGAACAATTTTATGCTTCACAAATAGATTTAGCAAATAAGAAAACAATACCTGCTTGAGAATTGAATTTGAAACCCCCAAGGTACACATGAGTGTTGGGGCTGAATGATCAACAGCCGTACAACGTTGAATCGTTTGTAAGATATCTAAAATAGCATGTTTATCAAGAATTTGGATCATATCACCAAGGCATAGCAAAGCATTCACTCTCACCTGCCAATGGAGGCATCTCGATGGTTCAGATATTTAATTTTTCTGCCTATGTGTATCAGTATGCAGAAATATATCCACAAAGCAGTTGGCAATTAGTAAATAACAATATTGTATATGCTAACCAATAAATATTTTCATTGCAAACCAGACTAGCAGAATAAAGATCAATCCATTGCTGGCATTTTTCGTAGATTGGGGACTTCTCCATGCAAAGCTATGTATTTGTTCAACTGGACAGATGAAAAAAGATTTCTATGTATCTTCCTAGCGTTTCCCATGTCATTTTAAAAGTGTTGATGGTTCAGGAGTTAGATCTCAATTGATTTTACAACCAACTTGCTGTCCATAGAGTTTGATCTCCACTCTTAACATTTTACAGAGCAATGATTGCAATAAATGAGGGATAATTTGGGCACATTACCATTGAAAAAGACACATGGCTCCCTGTTTATTTATCTATTTACTTGTTTATTTGTTTATTTTGAAGGATAACATTTGATACATAGGAGTGCTTTTGTCTTCGTCAAGATGTATTTTGGACTGGTTATTAGGGGTGTTCCCCTCATGATGGGATATGCTCAAATCACTCCCCTAATATATAGTGTTGAGGTTCAACAATATCCCATTGCTTTGCTCTGGACTACAATAACAGAACCATATTTCAAGGTGATGCATGAAGCAAAAAAAAAAAATCAAAGTGATGCACTTTTTGAAGTTGTCTGATGATAGTGATCCAAACAAGGTTGAAGTTGTTTAATTCAGGCATGGAACCTGAAGCAGAAAATAGGAGTTTGCATGTGAGAGAAAGGGGGGAAAAGGAAAAGATAGAATATGATGGAACTGTTGATAATAACATAAATGTAAATGGCCCATTTAGGCCCATTAAACTAGTGTATAACCGGGGACCTCGCAAGATGGCCCATTATGGCTAAAGAGGGGTAACCAACATCTATAAATAGTCCATGAAACAATGAGAAAGGCATCAAGCCATTTCAGAGTCTCTCTCTCTCTTTCTCTCTCTCTCTCTCCCTCTCTCTCTATTTTCTGATTTCAGGAGGCAGAGTCTCCCTCGAAGAAGACTCCTGTGGTGATCAGTTGTATGCTAAAAGGTCGAAATGTGATTTTGGACAGTCGCAAATTCACTATTTGGGACACATTGTCACAGCCGGCACAATCAGAGCTGATCCAGACAAGATAAATTGTATGTTGCAGTGGCCCAACCCCACAACTGTCAAGGATCTTAGGGGACTTTTGGGTCTTACTGGGTATTACAGGCGGTTCATTAAGGGGTATGGCACTATGACGGCCCCACTAACAAACTTGCTCAAGAAGAATGCCTTCCAGTGGTCGGAAGAAGCAGAGAATGCCTTCACGACACTGAAGATGGCCCTTACAACCCCCCCCCCCCCATCTTGTCCCTGCCAGATTTTTCAAAACCGTTTGTAGTAGAATGAGATGCATCAGGAAAGGGCGTAGGGGCCGTTACAAGACAAAAAGCCCATTGCCTATTTCAGCAAGGTTCTCTCACCACTGGCCCATGGGAAATCCACGTATGAAAAGGAGTAAATGGCGGTTGTGTTGGCTGTGCAAAAATGGAGGGGGTACTTGCTGGGTCGAGCTTTCACCATTCGCTCCGACCAAAGAAGCTTACGATATCTAATAGAACAACCGGTTCTGAATGAGATACAACTGAAGTGGCTATATAAGTTGCTAGGCTTTGACTTCACAATAGAGTACAAAACAGGTCCGTCCAATCTGGTTGCGGATGCTTTGTCAAGGCAACATGAGTGCTGTCAGATGGTAGCTTCTAGGCTCACTTATCCATTTATGAGTCAGCTGAGGGAGGAAGCCCCTAATGATGCTAGTCTCACTGAGATCAGATGTACAAGGGCAGAATGGTGCTGCCAGGTAACTCAACCCACATTCTGGCCCTCTTAGAGCTTTTTCACACTTCTCAGTGGGTGGCCATTCTGGCATCCTACGAACATATCGTAGGATATCCTCTCATTTTTATTGGGTGGGGATGAAGAGACAGATTCGGGAGTATGTTGCCATGTGTGCAATATGTCAGCGGCAAAAATATGACAATCAGTCCCCGGCTGGGCTGTTACAGCCTATACTGCTCCCGGAACAAGTTTGGGATGAGGTAACTATGGATTTCATTACTGGTCTACCTCCTTCCAGCGGAAAGACAGTCATTGTTGTTTTTGTGGATCGGCTGTCTAAGTATGCGCATTTTGCACCACTATCCCATCCATACACTGCAGCACAAGTGGCCAAAATTTTTGTCCAGGAGGTCTCCCGTTTTCATGGCACACCCAAGGCAATTATCTCTGATCGGGACTCAGCTTTCATGAGCCGTTTCTGGGGTGAATACTTCCGGGTGCAAGGAACGAAACTCCATCATTCCACCAGCTATCATCCACAGTCCGATGGACAGACAGAGGTGGTGAATCGTTCCCTTGAGACCTACCTTCGGTGCTTTACTAGTGATTACCCCAGGAAGTGGGCCAAGTGGCTGTCGTGAGCGGAATACTGGTAATAACACCTCTTTTCATGTTTCAATTGGCATCTCACCTTTTCATGCTCTGTATGGAAGGGAACCACCCTACCTACTACCCTATGAGAAGGGATCCACAGCTTTGGCTGAAGTACATGCACATCTAACAGACAGAGATGCAGTCCTTAAGGACTTAAAGGCCAACTTGCTAAAGGCACAACAACAAATGAAGGCCTACTATGATAAGAAACATCGAGATGTTCAGTTCGAGGTAGGAGACTGGGTTTATTTGAAGCTAAGGCCCTACAGGCAGAGTAGCTTGGCTAAAAGGTCCTCTCAAAAATTGGCTCCCAGATTTTATGGTCCATTCCGTATCGTAACCAGGGTGGGAAAGGTGGCTTATAAGTTAGACCTCCCTAGCTCTTCCAAGATGCACCCCACATTTCATGTATCCCTATTGAAGAAACACTTAGGGCCAGTCCCTTCGGTTTCAGCTTGCTTACCAGAATTTTCTGAGGAGGGGGTTCTACAGACACAGACAGATCATATTGCTGACTTCAGGTGGGTACGAGATGGCAATAAGTCAGTTCAGCAAGCCTTGGTGGTATGGAAACACCTCCCACCGGAAGACGCCACATGGGAAGACTACTGTCAGCTGCAGCAACGCTACCCCAGCATTAACCTTGAGGACAAGGTTGCTATAAAGGGGGGAGGATTTGATGGAACTGTTGATAATAACAGAAATGTAAATGGCCCATTTAGGCCCATTAAACTAGTGTATAACCAGGGACCTCGCAAGATGGCCCATTATGGCTAAAGAGGGGTGACCAACATCTATAAATAGTCCATGAAACAATGAGAAAGGCATCGAGTCATTTCAGAGTCTCTCTCTCTCTCTCCCCCTCCCTCTCTCTCTATTTTCTGATTTCAGGAGGCAGAGTCTCCCTCGAAGAAGACTCCTGTGGTGAGCAGGCTCTCATCAGAATATGGGTAAACCAAAAAGCAAGTGACCAACGACAAATTGAAGGGGCTAGAAAGGACTAGGGGTAAAGCAAAAAGGATATGGGTAGTAGTAAGGAATGATTCAAGTGTGAAAAAATTTAACAATGGATATAGCATTAAAAAGAATGCAATAGCAAAACAGGATTCATGTAGCCAACACCACATAGTTGGGATAAGGCTTGGATGATGATGACGACCTTATATAGTGGCTCACTGTACATGACATCTCCTGTACATGTTTTGTTATAGAACTTAAATGAAACACATTATCTTTTTGCTCAAAAAACAAACTGAACATATAGTTGGGACAAGGCTTAGATGATGATGGATCTGAAAAATGTAGGAAATATCATATAATATACTTCTTATTTATTTCTTTCATTTGATGTACTCTAATAAATTCGTTGTTATTGATCAATAAAAAATCAAAAAAACTGGACTAGAAGTGGCAGAGAACAGAAATACTAATTATAATAAAAACCTACCTAAATTAATTAATTATATATATTTTGGATGTCCATTAACTTATATCCTTATCATACTAAACCAAATACAATTTTAAAACTAAATATATGAGTGACAGCATTCACAATTAATACAAACTAAATTGTCACCTTCTAAAACAACAACGAACATTTCCAATAATCCCCATTCACCTATGCATCATTACTGGGTATCACACACTTGATGACTGATACAAACTCCATAGAAAAGCATCATTAAAAGAAGAAAAAAAGAGAAGCAAGATAAATTCAAGGATATGGAATGTGAAGTCAAACCTACTAATCTATGACAAGTTATCCTTCACTTCTAGTTGGAAGTTAAAACTGAATGAGGAGATGAATGCAACACATGACACAGATGCATGAAACAAACATCCCAAACATACCGCAGCCACTGTCGTTTTAAGTGCCAAGCCATGAACACGAGGTAAAATTGCTTGCTTCACTAGCTGCCAAAAAGAAAAAGGAGCAGAAAAAATAAAGTTTATAAGGCTTCACATATTAAAATGTATCAACCATCAAATAAGCATCAACAACAAAGAACCCGAACTTGTCACTATTTTAAATTAGTTTCTAGAGTAGGGAAAAGAAACTTAAACCAACCCCCTTGTTATCTTACTCAAGAACACTAGTCAAGCTAAAGACATGACCCATTTTTAGATCTAGGTGGTAGTTCAGCACTTCAACCATTCTGGTAAATATTTGAGGGGGGGAGAGAGAGAGAGAGAGAAAGAGGAGATATATATAGAGAGAGAGAGAGAGAGTGATGACTTAACCAGTTGCCTGTGATTTAATTGCTTCTGGTGGTGGTGTGGACGACAAACACAAGCATGCTTTCTTTTCTTCTTCTCTTCCCCTGCTGCCAGCAGAAACAACATCCCCTATCTTGTTTCTTTGTTTGTCAAATCCCCCCTTCACAATTCTTTTTCCTGTTTCAATTTTTTATTTCTTTTCATCTGATATTTAATTACTAATTATATGGATTTGGTCAGACCTGACCCTTTGAATGGTTGAACTGAACAGTTCAACCGTTTCAACCAGCTGGGTCACAGCTCTTTGACTAAGTAAACATTTTTTTTCTATACAATGGATCTAATGACGGACTGAACTGCCTCAGACTCCAGATGATGGGTTGAATGGTCAGACAGCCAAGTCAATGACTTGTTGAATACCTTGTTACCAGCTAGAGGATTAGCTCCTGGCACAAGCTCAACAAAATAATCATTTCTCTCCTCAGTTTAGATTTTAGTTCAAAACCTTACTCCTTAGGGAACTCAAACCTTGATGCTCCATAATGAAAGCCTCTATTTCTTGTCGAATATTCTATTCCCTCCTTGGGTTGCTCCTAAAGCGTCCAAATATGTGGCCTCCACTCCTTCAGGGATCCTACCATATAGAGGACTCCAGTCACAACATTTGCTTTCTCCATACTCACTATGAATATCAAGCATAGATACCTTCATCTGTGATGGAAATACTCCAACGCATGTGTTACCTTCATGACATTTATAGAAATCTGAGGCAATATGGCACATTAGTTGTCAAGGCGTGACCTAGGTGACTAGGTGCCCTTGGCTGGGCACCTAACCCAAATGCCTTGCTTTATAGCAACTGGGTGCCTGTCTAAGCGACTAGGCACCTGCCTAGGCGACAAAAATGACAAGGCGGGTGCCTTATTATAATATCATCTATATTTCTACATCTTATTAACATGTGTGTTAATACCTTATATTATACACTGTATATATTGTTGAGAATTCTATTGTTATTTGTTTGTTTAGTTTATTTATTTTCTGTTAGTATGTTCAAAACACAGTCCTTTAGTTAAAAGTTGTTTAAATAGTTTTGCTTAAATTTGTTAGTAGCAGCCAACCTATCAAGGGTAGGGTATATGTGGCATTGCACTCATTTTAAGAGGAAAGAAGAGGCTCAAACAGGAAGGAATTCATTCACATCTCTCAATCTGGGGGCCGATTCCCTCGAAAGAACCCTGAGTTAGGCATATTCCTAACAGTCTGGTATTAGAGCTTGGATGCCAAATACCTGTGCTACATTCATGGAGGCAAGAGTTGATCAGGTAGAGGTTGAGCTCCACCAAGTCTCCGACGATGTGAGAGAAATAAAAGAAACCATGACAGTCATACTGTGCCGTCTCAAATAGGATATGCTAGAAAAACACAAAGGCGGCGATCAAGAAGGGGGCAGCCAAGGAAGCAAACAACGAGGGAGTTTGAGCATCGACAAGAACATCAAGTTACTCTTTCCAGTGTTCTCTAGAGGTGACCCAATTGCTTGGATTTGTCAGAATTGTTAGTAGTTAACAAGGGCAGTATTGACTTTTTCATGTTACTCTTTCTCTCTTATATCTGCTGTATTTTTCCTAAGGGTATTGTAGTCATTTCAGCCTTAATAGAATGTTAATACAACTTGGGTCGACAGTAAGGAGAATGGAACAGATTTCTCCTTTCTAGTCTTCCCTCTTTTCCTCTCATTTTCTTCTCTTTCTCTTCCCTTTCTCTTCTTATCTTCTATTCTTTTCTTCATATTTTCTTACTTTATTAAAGTTGGAACATGGTATCAGAGCCTTGAGGTCGACTGTACTATTCACGTCTCAACTTTTTGTACCCTAGGAAAAGAGAATATTCTCTATTCTTTGTTGGAAAGGAAAAGGACTTAAGAGGACTGATCGCCCACTTTGAAAAGAGGCTTTAATGCCTCAAGTTGCAGTGTTGTGTGAGTTGGTGGTGCTTTTCTAAAAGCCCTCTATTCGGCAGTTCAAAGAGGGCAGTTTTGTGATGTTTCAAGTTGTGAGGTAGGTGCTCCTCAATGTGTGGTGATTTTGTAGCGGTTTGTGTTGTGGTGACACCTTGTGGTAAATATGCAATCTTTCCCAAGTGTTTCTAAAGTAGAGGGCTGATGATTCTTGGTGTTTTTCCTAAAGAAAAAGGTGTGTTACAGTAGTTGCATACCAGCTGTTTGACAGTTTGCCTACGTGACAAATCAGTGATCTCAATTAACTACAGTAAAACTCAATGGTACTAATTATATCCCATGGGCCAAGTCAGTTGAGGTATCTCTCATTGCAAGAGGCAAGTTGAAGTACATCAAGGAGGGTCCATTGAAAAGTGAATTAGAAGGGTACAAGAGAATGCCCAAATTATGACATCACTTTTGGAATAGTATGGAAAATCACATTAGTGTAAACCTTATGTTTCTAGACACGGCCAAGGAGATTTGGGACCATGCCAAGCAATTGTACTTTGGACAAGACAATATCACAAGAATTACCAATTGTACCAAGACTATTTTTCTCTTCAACAAGGGGATAAAAGTGTAGAAGAATACTATGCTTCTTCTGTTGCAAAACAAGTTATATGCCAAAGAGTCCAAATGTGCTTTTGGACAATCAAGGGTTCATTATTTGGGACACGTAGTTGAAAATGGCACAATGATGGTTGACCCAAGAAAAAGTAGACTGTATACAACAATGGCCACAACTAACCACTGTTAAGGATCTATGAGCATTCCTAGGGTTGACAGGATTCTACCGCCAGTTTATTAAAGGTTATGGACAGATTGCAGCCCCACTAACAACCTTGCTCAAAAAGAACTCTTTCAGCTGGTCTGGCCAGGCCCATGATGCATTTAAAGCCCTCAAGTCAGTCGTTTCCTCACCGCCTGCTCTAACACTTCTGGATTTCAACAAAGCATTTGTAGTAGAATGTGATGCCTCAGGTCTTGGGGTGGAAGCAGCACTATGCAAGATGGACAACCTATTATGTATAATTCATTTCCGCTAATGCCACAAGCAATTAAACAGCCTAAGCTCCCAAAATTCTCCATGGATATGGAGTTGTAGACAGAACCATTACGTATAATTGATTTCCGTTGGGTTAAAAATGGCACCCATGTGATACCAGAAGCATTAGTGGTATGGACTCAACCAAGGATCAAGATTTCAATACGATACGCACCATATCAGGCATATCGTATTGTATCTTTGGGGTTCCGAGACACCTATTGACAGGTGTTTCGGGAACCCTCTTTTTTTAATAAAAAATATACATAAAACCTCCTCAAAAACCAATTTTTGAAAAAAAAATAATAAAAGTGCATGCTTTTAGTACCAATGCACCTCTTCCGATACACAGGGGCATATCGATACTTTGAACCTCGGACTCAACTACCGGAGGAGGATCCTACATGGGAGCCATACCTACACCTGCAAGTTTCCTCACATTGACCTTGAGGAGCTCACAGAGAACCCAGGCCATTATATGGGAATAGACAACCGGTGCATGAAGTATACAAGAGGACACATCGGCATATAAATAGGTCAAGTGGTTAGAAGGATGTAAGCCTTGTAATAGTCTCTCTCTCTCTCTCTCTCTCTCTCTCTCTTCTTCTTCTTCTCAGTCTAGAGCCGGCTCCCTTGAAAGAACCCTGAGGCAGATTCCTAACACTGGATCTGTTACAATCTGTGCAACTTCACCCACCTCAAGTGCGTCATCCTGATTCTTGTAGTTGGTTGTGGGAGAAAATAATGGTAGGTTCTCTGTAAAATCTTTCTATAGAAGTATGTGCCAAGATTGACAATTTCTCAGTGAACAGAATCTAGCATAGTGGGGTGCCATCCAAAATTGTTTTTCCTTGACTGCAGCTCTGGAAGAATGTTTAACTTGGGATAAATTACTGCATAGGAGAATGACATTGGACCAGCAGGGGTGTGTCTTTTTCAGAAGATTTGGAAACTTCCAATCATTTATTCTTTCACTGCCCAAATGCTGTCAAAATTTGGACTGTGCTTTTTGAATACATTTGGCTCAGCTGGCTGCTTTCAACAGTCTATTAAAGTTTTTTACAAAGCTTGCAGATTAAAGTGTTGATAGTAGGGACAAAACTGTATGGAGAATGCTTCCCCATGGCTGCTTTTTGGTCTATATGGGAGGAAAGGAACTTGTGTTTTTGAAAACATCTATGCTGATAGTGATGTGCTAAGGGCAGTCCAATGCACGAGGCTCCCACCAATGCAGGATCTAGGGAGGGACAGATGTACGTAACCTTACCCCTGCACATACACAGAGGCTGTTTCTAAGCTGATAGTGGTGTGCTCCTGAACAGAATTAAAGGCAGGCTTTGTTCATAGTAAGCTGCTCATAAGGATTTCAGGGGGTTGCTATAGATATTCTTCTTTCTCGTTAATTTCTTGCTAGCAAGTTGTATAGATATATACTCATGGGATGTAAAAGGCCTACAAGTGCATCTCATTTTGTTTAAGGATAAAAAGGAAATTTTATTAAACTGAAAATAAAGGCAGTACATCTCAAAATGATGGTTGTCAAGTTGACAAACCAAATACAGATCAGATCAAACTGTGAAAGAATCAAAATTACAAGGATTCAACTCCAGAGTACCCCATAAATTCTCTAACAGATCAAAATTACAATGTTTTTTCCTTGTCCTTGAAAACCCTTCTGCTTCTTTCTTTCCAGATGGACCAGCATACTGTGAATGGGATATAGCTCCACAGAATTT